GCTTTTATCCATTTTTAGTTTATTCTTGTGGTCTAGTTTCATTTTTTTGAACGTACCTGTCCAATTTTCCCAACACCATTTATTGAAGAAACTGTTTCTGTTCCATTGTATGCTCTTGCCTCTTTTGTCAAATATTAATGAGTATAATGGCTTGGGTGGATTTCTATTCTATTCCATTGATCTACATTAAAATGAAAAGCTTCTGTACTGCAAAAGAAACCATCAACAAGACAACAAGAGAGCCCACCATATGGGAGAACACATTTGCAAATGATACATCCAATAAGGAGTTAATCTTCAAAATTTATAGAGAACTCATACAACTTAACAAAGAGAAGCCAAAAATCCAATTAAAAATGTCAAATGACCTAAGTAGACACTTCTTCCAAGTGGACATATAGAAAGTCAGTAGACATGGAAAAATGCTCCAAGTCACTAATCATCCAAGAAATGCAAATCTAAATGACAATGAGATATCACCTCACACCTGTCAGAATGGCTATCATGAATAAATCAACAAATGAGAAATATTGACCAGGTTGTGGAGAAAAGGAAACCCTAGTACACTGCTGGTGGGAAAGCAGACTGGTGCAGCCATTATGGAAAATAGTATGGAGTTTCCTCAAAAAAATTAAAAATGGAACTCCCATTTGACCCAGTGATTCCACTTCTAGGAATATATCCTAAGAAACCTGAACACTCCTCAGAAAGAATACATGCATCCCCATGTTCATAGCAGCACAATTCACAATAGCTAAGATTTGGAAACAGCCTACGTGCCCATCAGCAGATAAGTGGATTCAAAAACTGTGGTACATCTACACAATGGAATACTATGTTGGCATAAAAAACAAGGAACTTTTACTATTTGCAACAGCATGCATGGAACTGGAGAGCATATGCTAAGTGAAATAAGCCAGTTGGAGAAAGATAAATATCACATGATCTCACTCATATGTGGGGTATAATGACCAACATAAACTGATGAACAAAAATAGATCCAGAGACAAGGTAGCACTGAACAGATCGTCCAACCTCAGAGAGAAGGCAGGGAAGGGGGTGGTTAGAGATCAACCAAAGGACTTATATGCATGCATATTAACATAACCAATGGACACAGACACTGGGGCAGTGGGGGCTTGCCCTTGTGGGTGGGAGTTGTGTGTGGGGGGTGTCAATTGGGGGAAAGGAAGACGTATATAATACTTTAAACAATAAATAAAAATTCACATATGAAATTTTAATAAAAAAAGATTTGGAAACAACCTAAGTGCCCATCAGCAGATGAGTGAATAAAAAATGGTGGTACATTTATACAATGGAATGCTATGTGGCAATAAAAAAGAAAGAACTCTTACCATTTGCAACAGCATAGATGGACCTGGAGAATATTATTCTAAGTGAAATAAGCCAGTCAGAGAAAGATAAGTATCACATGATCTCACTTATATATGGAATCTAATGAACCAAATAAACTGATGAACAAAAAGACCCTGCGACATAGAAGCATGAACAGACTGTTGAACCTTAGAGGGAAGGCAGGGGAGAGTGGGTGGGAAGAGATCAACACATGAACTTGTATGCATATACAATTGTCTGTGGACATAGACAATTGGGTGGTGAGGGACTTGGGGGCGGTTGGGATTGGGGTGGGGGATGGGAGCAGGCTTGAAGAGGTTAATGTGGGGAAAAGGGGACCCATGTAACACTTTGAACAATATAGATTAAAAAAAGAACTTGTATAAAGTAATAATTACCTTTTTCTTCATGCCACGTGGAGGTTTAAGTAGATATCCTTGCTGAAAGATTAAAAGATCCAAGTGTATAGTTAGCCTGTGTTTATGTTTTGTGAGTCTGACATTGCAACCTCCTCCCAAATATTTCTACCTGGATGTTCCACTGTCAGCTAAAACCAAGATGTCTAAATGAGAACCCATCTTCCCCTCCTCAATGTTATTCTAGAATTCATTAATAGTAGCTGGAAAATCCTCCTTAGAATTTTTTCCTTTTCTTTTGTGTTCTTATTTACTTAAGTTTTCATTTCCTTCACAATCTTTTTGACAGCTTTCACTTCCTTTCCATTCCCACCAGTGCCACTCACGTTATTTCCTCACACCAGGGCTGCTCAACTGACACACACATGTCCCACAGCTATTGGGTGTCAGATACTCTGCACAATGTTGGGCACACAAAGATGTATAAACCCTAGAGAGATCTAGGAGAGCAAGAAGTTGCATGAAAGGATAAGTATAAAACTGTGAGAAAGGCTTTAATAGTGTGGTCAGGGGGTCTAGGGAAGGGATGACAAAGCAGGTCAGTCAGGGAATATTCAGAGAGGGGTGACATTGGAGCTGAGCATTCTAGGTTTGCTACAAGTGTCTAGAGCTGAAAGACAGTGAAGTCATTTCCAGGCCCCATGTTGTCTGAGATACTGTTTCAAATATGTCATTTCACACCTCAGGAGACTTCCCTGGTTCTGCATTGTTTATGCTATGAGTTTAAAATCCTTAGCCTGGCATTAAATCCCTCCAAAAAAACCCCAAAACCCCAATTGATGAATTATGCCTTATCACACACAATCCATCTACCTCAACCTGTGGAGCCAGGTTAGTCATGGTTCTGGTTTTCACACCACTCTTTTTCAGGAGTGCCTTCTGACCACTTGTTTGACTGTAGATGGTCTCCTTTCTTTCAGTGGCTAAAGTTGTCTGCAAGCACCTCAGTCAGAATGACCTTTCCCTCCTCCAGGCTCCCGCACCTACTCCAACCGAGCCCCTTTGACATCAATGTGCTGCCTTGTACTGACTTAAGAGTGTGGGACGCCTCCCTCCAGGACAAGAATAAAGTCAGGGGATCTCAGAGCTCTAGCCAGGACTCAACATATATTTTATGAGCAAATAGTGACATTTTCTTCAAGTACAAGGAAAGTCACATCTGCTGCCCCATCATTAGAATACCTGTATCATCCATTTTAGGGTTCTCCCACCACAGCACACACTGTTCTTCCAGTTACTTGATTTTTCATAGCCTCCTGCAACTTCAAATTCCCTTGGGGTGAACCAATTTCCATCCTCTCTCCTTATGCACTTCACTGTGGCTCCTGTAAGACCGGGATAATTGATCCTGAAACCTCCTTGTCCTCAGAGCTCAGACACTGGATCTACAGCCACCCAATTTGGGTTAAAGATCACTAACAGATGAGTGTGGCCTCACCTTTCATGCTTGAGAATCCCCAAACCCAGCCTGTTTCAAGTCTCTTGTAAGGAGATTTCCTACTTTGGAATGAAATCTCAAGTGGGGGCCCTGCTCTGCTGCTTACAATGACATTAAGGCAATATCTGTGCCCTGTATGACAATAATTTTCTTCCAGTTCAATGGCATTATTGAGCTGATATTTTTTTTACGTGAAATCATGAATAACTGACTTTAAAGTAATTGTGAAAAATGATTCATTGGAAAATTTTACTTATATATAGACTAGAGGCCCAGTGCACAAAATTTGTGCATGGGGGGTTGGGTGGGGGGGAAGGTATCCCTCAGTCGGGCCGGCACCCTCTCCAATCTGGGATCCCTTGGGGGATGTCTGACTGCTTTTAGACCCAATCCCTGTGGGTAGTTGGACATCCCTCTCATAGTCTGGGACTGCTGGCTCCTAACTGCTCGCCAGCCTGCCTGCCTGATTGCCCTTAACTGCTTCTGCCTGCCAGCCTGATCATCCCCTAACTGCTCCCCTGCCGGCCTGATTGATGCCTAACTGCTCCCCTGCTGGCCTGGTCACCCCTAAGTACCCTTTCCTGCCAGCCTGGTTGCATCCAACTGCCCTCCTCTGTAGGCCTGATCGCCTACAACTGCCCTCACCTGCCGGCCATCTTGTGGCAGCCATCTTGTGATGATGTCACACATGATGCCACCTAGGCTTTTATTATATAGGATAAAAGATAGTCATATATGTAACAACATTATTCATTAAAAAAAGGAAATAAAAACCTTATTGAGATACCACACCACACCCTCTAGGATAGCCGTAAAGAAAAAGACAGACAATAACAATTGTTGGTGAGGATGCAGAGAAATTAGAGCACTCAGATTTTACTGGTGGGAATATAAACGGGTGCCATACTGTGGCAAATAGTTTTAATTTTTTTCAATAAGTTCAAAATTGAATTGCCATGTAATCCTGCAATTCTACTCCAGAGTATATGGTGGAAAGAATTAAAAACTAGGTTCACCAAAATCTTTATTCAAAACAGCATTATTCATAATAGTGAAAGGGTGAGAAAACCCAAACTGATAGATAAATGCATTACTGTGTTTCCACACGATGGACTGTTATATTATTTGAAAATAAAAAAGAATGAAGTATAATGGATGATATATACATATGAACCTGGAAAACATCATGCTGAGTGAAAACCAGTAACTGAAAGGCACATGTTATATGAGTCAATTGATATGAAATATTTAGAATGGGCCAGTTTATAGATCATAAAATATATGAGTGGTTGCATAGAGCTAGAATGTGGGGTGAGGTGGGAGTGGGTATTGACTACTGAGAGACATGGTGCTTCTTTTAGTGGAGGAAAAAACTGTTCTAAAATTAGATTGAAATGATGGTTTTATAATCTTGTGAATAAACAAAACAGAAACAAAAAGCTCAACAGTGAATTCTACACTTAAAATGGTGAATTACTAGTATATATGTGAGTTATACCTCAGTAAAGCTGTTTAAAAATAGTTTTGATGCAAACATATTATTTTTTCACATACCCACATTAAGATTAATCTGATATGGGGTTCATCATTATAGACAACTATTGGAAAGCTTTATAATGTTCAAATCAGAAAACATTTTACAGTCATTATGTACATTGTCTCAAAGTCACACCAGGAGACAGGTTTTTAATTATTATCCATTATTAGATGAGAAGTTTCAGGCTCAGAAAAATCCCATTCTTTACTCAGTCATTCTTGGCAGAGCTGAGACTGGGACTCAGGTTTTCTGATTTTAAATTTTGTGAACTCTGGAAGTGAGCACTTAATATGCACCATTTCTTTTTTTAAATATATTTTTTATTGATTAAGATATTACATATGTGTCCTTGTCCCCACGTTACCCTCTACCCCCCCCCCGGTCATGCCCTCACCCCCCCTCCCGCGTGG